TCTATACCGTTGGCAACAAAAGTGAGTACACTCCTAAGTGGAAATGTCCAAATTGGGCCCAAAGTGTCATTATTTTGTGTGGCCACCATTATTTTCCAGCACTGCCTTAACCCTCATGGGCATGGAGTTCACCAGAGCTTCACAGGTTGCCACTGGAGTCCTCTTCCACTCCTCCATGACGACATCACAGAGCTGGTGGATGTTAGAGACCTTGCGCTCCCCCACCTTCCGTTTGAGGATGCCCCATATATGCTCAATAGGGTTTAGGTCTGGAGACATGCTTGGCCAGTCCATCACCTTAACGTTCAGCTTGTTTAGCAAGGCAGTGGTTGTCTTGGAGATGTGTTTGGGGTCATTATCATATTGGAATACTGCCCTGCGGCCCAGTCTCAGAAGGGAGGGGATCATGCTCTGCTTCAGTACATCACAGTACCTGTTGGTATTCATGGTTCCCAGAACATGACACTCCCACCACCATGCTTGACTGTAGGCAAGACACACTTGTCTTTGTACTCCTCACCTGGTTGCCTGGTCACACACACTTGACACCATCTGAACCAAATAAGTTTATCTTGGTCTCATCAGACCAAAGAACATGGTTACAGTAATCCATGTCCTTAGTCTGCTTGTCTTCAGCAAACTGTTAGCAGGCTTTCTTGTGCATCATCTTTAGAAGAGGTTTCCTTGTGGGACGACAGCCATTCAGACAAATTTGATGCAGTTTGCGGCGTATGGTCTGGCCACTGACAGGCTGACCCCCCACCCCTTCAACCTCTGCAGCAATGCTGGCAGCACTCTTATGTCTATTTCCCAAAGAAAACCTCCGGATTAGACGCTGAGCACGTGCACTCAACACTTTGGTCGACCATGGCGAGGCCTGAGTTGAGCCTGCCCTGTGAAACCGCTGTATGGTCTTGCCCACCATGCTGCAGCTCAGTTTCAGGGTCTTGGCAATCTTCTTATAGCCGTTGATTGATTAAGCAAGGACACGGCCCGAGGATGTATACTATTCCATCTACCATTGGTCTGGTTTATTACCAATTGATTCCATCTCTCAAGTGAGAGATTCAGAGAGAGGTCTCGTGGTCAGAGAGAGACCCACATCAGGATCTCAGTCTTATGCTGATATTAGTAAATGGTGTACCCCGCAGTTGGTCACCCTGAGTCTCTAATGGACTCTAGTTTGGATTACAAGAGGGTGTGGCCCTCCATCGCCTCGGCCTGAGACTGATATTTTTATTTTCACGAGTAGAGAGTGAACCCCTCTCATAGACTGACCCGGACGCTAATTCATGATTAGAGGGGGTGGCCCTCCCTCAACCTCAGCCCGTTACTGAGCTGGATACAGAGGACATGTCTTGAGTGACACATTCTCATAGAGGGAACCGGACACGGATGTAGACTCTAATGTTTGGTTATTAACAGGCGTGGCCCACTCATGCTATCAGCCGGACGCTGACACAGAGTTTGGTCACATTATTAGAGAGTGCGGCTTTCTCATACACTCAACGCACTACGGTGCCGTCCATTTGTTCATCACACAGGCTTGTACATGTACAGGACAACGATGACTGAATAGAGGGGCGTCCCTCCTGTATTCTATTAGATCTAATGACCGGGCTACCGATTTCGTTATAGAGGGCTGCCTGATCGTGCAGGGTATACATGTTTAGACTGGATCCCTCTATTTCACCTCCTATAATGGATCCACTCTATCCCACGTGAGAAATACTCACAGAGGTATTACTGGGGGAGATTCCCCGCTTATTTACACACATTCCTGGAGATGGTACGGCTAATGGAAGAGCCCCAGTTGTTACAAGAGTGCAGGTTTTGGTATAATCTGCGCTATATCAAACAGGCAATTGCACTCTGTTTAAGATATTCAGACCATTGCGAACAAACTGTGCAGACAGTTTTTCCCATGTCAAGGTGACATGAGATCCTGAGACCTTCACAGAGCAAACGGGCACTGCCTTGCTCGGGTAACAAGACTAGGGAAGGCCCACAACCCGGTCTGCAGATACATCGTATGCATGGATCACATGGAAAGACCGGAATCCTCGGTCGACTTGGGTTCTCTGGTCATTACAATCTTGGGGTGAGATGACAGGACTGCCCCTACACCTCTGAGCACATATCTGGAGAACAGGGTTCGGATATGGAGGGCCCTCCTTCTATACTTGATATCCCTCACGGGAACCGTCTTGGTTTGGGTTCTCGCTAACCCATCTATTCAACTACCATCAAGGACACCTACTGTGGACTCTATGGAGGAACCCTGTGTGTCCCCGGTTCCTACACGGACGTCACAAGTTGGGACACAACCTACCACTGGAGTACTGCTCAGGATGCGTAGCAGGCTCGGATATGGCTGCCGACGTTCTCAAACGGGACAACACCTGCTTCGGACGGTTGAAGCTAGGCCCTTATTTTTTCGTTATACCTGTCGTGAGTGAAGGGACTTTACATCTTGTCTGCGTATTCGAGAACACTATGTGTTTGCGGGACTCCAAGCTAAGAAGGGAGGTATCCCTCTATAGGGAGGCCTTGACTTCGGTTCTCGAATTCACATTCCTGGGTCCCTTGACGTAGGGCCTACTCTGGGAGTTACGTGCCCGGACAGTCAGGGGTACAGGGACCTAGGGGTCTCACTATATTATACCCTATCTCGTAGGTGCCGTGTAGACCAGGAACGCCTACACGAATTTTGACAGGTCGGGCATGGAACAGGATCGTACAAACGGGTAATCGGATTATTTCACTCTCTCACTACAGCACGTGAGGGCTCTTCTTTGTTATACAGGTCCCAATCACCATTGGACATCTTATCACTCTTAGACGATGATATATCTGGATGGAAATCTCAACCCCGGTTTACATTCCCATCCTTTTAAATATTTCCGGGATTCACAATCCCCAGAATAGTCGACCACCGTTTCACCACACAAGTTCAGTTTGGACCTCGATTGGACGTCCTTTGGGAGTCTTTTCTCTACCGCAGCTGCGGATTACACAGTCCATTTGGAATACTAGAACCACTTAGGATACGGCTAGTCTTGACCCTGGCACGATAGGAGAAGCCACCTTCCACATCAAGAGTTGAGACATGGTGGCAATTTCTTCTCGAGGCCCTAAGTCCGCAAATGACCTTCAGCATTTTACACCTATAGGAAAATGGCTAATAGGGCAGCTTGGCAGCTCATGGACGGGCTGTTAGGAAACAGGTCGCAACCCCACGTACAATGGATCTATCAGCGGATGGTGTTTTTCCGAATTTGGGGTGCTTCATCAGCTGGCATCTTCATCGATCTGTCTACTGTCACTTCTCGCAGTTGGAAGGTCCATTTGGGATTGCTCTAATATCTCACGGAATAGGTACCAGCTTTGGATTTGTTGGCTGAGCGTTAAAACAGCAAATACAAAGCCTCCTGTCATGTTATAAAATTGTAGATTATGCTAGCTTTAGTGTACCTATAATCTTAATTTTATTAATGACAGGAGGCGAGTATTTCCCACCCATTCTTATCCCTCCCTTGTTTAATTTTATAGTTTGAGTTCATCAGGTACGTATACAACTCTGCTTGTTGTCTCTGCTAACTGTCACTTGTTCTTATGTCTGTTTTTCATAAATCGGGTTGGGATTTATGCAGGTTACGGTAATTTTGGTTGCTACATTGGGTACTTACATATTTGTTCAGTGTACATTTCATTGGCTAAGCAACCTGTTCGATTCTGTTTTTTCTCTCGTTTCAGTTTACAGTCGATCAACACTATGTGGTTCGGCAGTTCTTCTCGGATGGTGGACATTGTCGTATTCATTACATCTAGGACTTCGTTTCTTCCCCATTATATTTTCTGCCTTTTGTTCTGTTTTGTCGCAGCTTGAAAGAGGAAATGATGCACGGGGAGGGGAGTTTTATAGTACCTAACTTTTTTCTGATTGGTTGTTTTTCTGTGCTGCTGTGGAGTTCTAGTAAAGAGAGACTTAAGCAAATACTCACCTCCTGTCATTAATAAAATTAAGATTATAGGTACACTAAAGCTAGCATAATCTACAATTTAACACACCTGCTTCCCATTCACACCTGAGACCTTGTAACACTAACGAGTTACATGACATCGGGGAAGGAAAATGGCTAGTTGGGCCCAATTTGGACAATTCCACTTAGGGGTGTACTCACTTTTGTTGCCGATGGTTTAGACATTAATGGCTGTGTGTTGAGTTATTTTGAGGGGACAGCAAAGTTACACTGTTATACAGGCTGTACACTTACTATAGTGTTGTCACATGAAAAGATATAAAATATTTACAAAAATTTGAGGGCTGTACTCACTTTTGTGAGATACTGTAGTTATCTCCTGCACACTATACTATCTAATGGGCGCAATCTACTAAATAGTGCGCACAACATAGAATAACATGCAATACACTTGGGAGATTCCATTTTATGCTATTTTATGCAAATAAAGTTTGTTCCTGTATTACTTGATTTGGTATTTTAATCCAATATACAAGAGAATTTCTACAGTGATCAACTAAACCTGCTTTTTCCAGCATCGTGGTCTCCAAGAATATCTTAAAAGGCGCTTATAGTCTGAGCCACTATTTACAGCTCAGCACCATGTGAGTGGGCAATTTTATATTTATTTTTATTTTTTGTCTATTTTATACAGGCTATACTATGTTTTTTATGTTTTATTTTTAGGACATTCCAAATATATGGTAATATTGCTTGTTTTTTACATCTGTTTTACATTTGGTGTATAGAGTTTGCTCTCACTATACTATTTATGCTATTTTACTATAGAATAACATGCGCATGATTTTAAAAAAATATTTTGTATGTCACCTGTCACCTGTGGGGCTCCGTAGATTTACACTTGTCCAGTATAATATGAGTCAAATTGTAGTTACCATAGATGTTGTAATTGAATAATTTAATAAACATGCATTCAACAGTGAATAAACTTTGTTTGCAAAAAAACAAGAGTAAAATGCACACACTAAAAAGGGGGACAATAGTTCCTGCAGGGTTCTCCAGAAAGGGAGGGCCAATCCCTGAAGACATTAAATGAACAAAAAAAAATGAAATATTAAGGCACACCTGAGCTTTCTTCTAAAAGGCAGTCTTTATTTGAAACAAGGAAGTGGAGACAACATTTCGACTCCTCCCTGAGCCTTTGTCAAAACTTGATAAAGGCTCAGAGAAGAGCCGAAACATTTTCTACGCTTCCTTGGATATTTCTTTTTTTCCAATGAATAAACTCTGACATCCTACAAACTTCATGATCTATGGCCTGGAACCTATATTTCCTACAGTTTCATATGTTTGATGATTGCACTTGCAATAAGAATTAATAATGCCAAAGCTTTGTTAAATGCTTAAATGATCTTTAATTAATAGTGCTCTGTAACATTTTGAGAAGGACTAAAATTGTTCAAACGGTATTTGCTATGGCGATCTAATTAGTTGTAAATCAGTATTAATTAGTTTTAACATTTAAAAACACAAGCTAAAGCTCTAAGAAACAGAAAAGCTTCAGTTTAAGATCATTTTCTATACAAAAGAACATTTACAGAAATAAAAATATAAAAGTTTAAAAATTTGACAATACTTTTATTTTTACAGAAAGTTTTTATTTTAGAGCAGATAGGGACCTGCTTTTTGTTATTTTTAAGTAGAGATGTCGCGAACGGTTCGCCGCAAACTTTTTACGAACGGTTCTCCGCAGTTCGCGGCGAACCGCGGTCAGCTGACACATCCCGGCCAATCTCCAGCAGACCCTCCCTCCCAGACCCTCCCACCTCCTGGATAGCAACCATGTTGAAGCTGCCTTCAACATGGATGCTATCCAGGAGGTGCGAGGGTCTGGGAGGGTCTGCTTGAGATTGGACGGGATGTGTCAGCTGACCGCGGTTCGCCGCGAACTGTTCGCGGCAAACCGCGGCGAACTGTTCGCGACAAAGTTCGCGAACGGTTCGCAACATCTCTATTCTTAAGCTGACCTTACATGTATGTCCCATAACTGAATTGTGTACATTTGATTTCTTCTGTTTCTTTCAGAATTACATAAACACCATTTATATTGGGATATTTCATTGAACCTTTCTGTGAATCTGGCATTTATTACACACGTAATTTTACCAGTCTTTTATTAGTACCTTAAGTCATTAAAGGGCCAATTTCAATGAAATGGTCTGGGTGCAGTGGTCCTGTCTTTTTCCTGCTGTTTTCTTAACAGCCACTAGAGGTCATTCCTACTCCAGAACTGAGTAAAACTTGGTCCTGGAATTATATGCTGCAATTAGCAGTACTTAATATGATGAACGTAATATTTGGCCACTCATGCCTAGTTCCAATCTATTGCTTCTCTATGAATATATCTAGTTCTTGTTGGACTGCATGCAGTTTTTGATCTTTTTATTACATTGAACTTTTTATTAAGTTGAAAACATTACCTGAAAAACCCAATAACGACCATGGTTCTACATCTGAACTACTCCAATTTCTCAATATCTTTTTAATTATAGCTATGCTTTAATACACATTCTTATCCTCACATCCATTTACGGGTAAAGTGAAGCAAGTCAATGTGTTTGATATACAAGGTATTAGGTTGACATTTTTGCTTTTTTTTTTAAATCTAGCACTTAATATTTTTTTTTAAATTCATCTACCCTCTTTCATATATCCAAAAATAAGATATAATAAAACACAACCTAGAATCACTGTAATAAGTAACCAAATTAACTAAATTGACTTTAAACTGGAATTAATGCTCAACTTTGGAGTAAAATGATCAATAAACAATTCTGTTTTATGGGTAATGGAATTATCAACACAAATTTACAATATAAAATATATATTTGTTAATATTGATTTTAATTCTAATGGATTATCATTAAAGTATAACATTATCAACCAAAAAATTGCAATTAGATTTTTTTTTAAAATGAAGAGAGAGAGAGAGAGAGAGAGAGAGAGAGAGAGAGAGAAATGTCCCGCAGCTCTGTAGTTTGTGTTTTTCCTTTCATTCAGAATCCCCAATTTCGGCTGTCACCACACTGAATGTAGATGCACATCTACTGGGAACGCGATTAATTCTTGCATATCCCTTTTCCCCCCATTCATTGCCCCAGCTGTAAAGAAACATATATATGAGTAAATGCAATTATTCATAGCAGCAGCACTTTACTGAAGGATTGTATGCAGCGCTCTGTACAGCAGCCTAAGGGACACTCCACTGTCCAAATACAAAATAAATATCACTGTTTAGTAGATATAAGCCAAATGGAAACACGCATGCATCTAATTATGCATTATTTAATTGGGGGTATATCTAAAATTAGCTTGCAAAAACTGCAGATCTTTTTGACTGCTGCCTTTCCAAGCCCTCCCCTTCTAACCACGCCCAGACTTTATGTGGCTGTCGAATCACACACTTCCCAATGCAGCTCAATGAGAAATCTTTGCAAGGCAGCTGCTCTGAGCAATTATCTGATTTGAAAACATTTCTCCCAACTTAGCTATAGTCATAGTTGGGTTTTTGTAGCCTAATGTTTGCTGTTTGATTTTTAGGTCACTACACTTCATGTTCAATGAAAAGTGCTATATGAATTCATGCACATATACATCCCTTCCATAAAGCGACATCTAAATGTTCTCCTGACCTAGCCTATTTAACAGGTGCTGCAGTAGCCAAGAGCAGTGACATATACAATGTTTCCCACGACCAGGAGCCTTGTTTCATGAGATGTGTAAACATAAGTTTGGTAGATCAGAACTTTTCCTCTTTCTTAACTTACCTGTTTTTTAATAGCCAATAGTCTGTTCCACATTCAGATCCATATCCTATGAAAGTCACTGCTTGTACTATAGAATTAGAACACTCGTCTTCACTATCACCATAGATTCCTTAAATAAGAAACACAAGAAAAATTAGTTACATCTAATTCTATCAATCATTTAAAAAAGCACTGGCACAGCCAAAGGGGAACCGTAATCACTATGAACTGAGACAGATATATGACTGACATCCAAGAAATCCTGCTGCAACATTTTTAATCAGGACCCTATCACATATAGAAAGCAAATTAAGGACAATTCTCAAACCAGCATTTGTAAAACAAGATTTATATATTACAACCAGTTAGTGGTCTTGCAACCACTAAGGACTCCAGTCCATCTTTTGGTCATGATAAATAAGATGTCCTTCATAGACTGTTGTAAGAGCATTGCATAGAGCCTTATATGGTATTGTTATATAATCACAACATTTTATAGGAGCTTGCTTTACGCAGTGCGAAGTCCAAGATTGGCTGTAAATACTCAGCCGTTTTTCTATAAACAAAAGAGGAACCAGAATCCTGGATGCGAGGACTGCAAATATAAGAGGAAGGATGCCAGCATATATTTTCTCACATTACCCACTTTCCAATAGTGGTTAAATCCTTAGGTTTGAGTGGACATTGGCTGTAACCAAAAAAAACTGAGTATGAGAACTGGGCTGTAACTACCTGATCTAAAACATGCAAGTTAAAAAATGGGGGCGGAGCCTGGCCGCCGAACTGCAGACATGGGCAGCACGAGCTCCTGCCTGGCGGTCAGAATTTGGGGTAAAATTGTCGGCTACATAGCCCAAAAATGTACTAGGGTGCACTACCCACGGCAGGGGTGCACTGCTGAAGCGAGTGACACCTCTCTGTAGCCCATTGAGACTGGAAACACGGAACACCACTTGCAACTATTAGAGTTGGCGCTGGGGAGAGGCAGCCGCTCTCCCCTACACCGGACTCACCAAGCGACTCTTCTGGTCTCCTACACCCCCACCCTCCCTTGGACCGGTGGGGGTTATCCCGGGCCCCACTTGGCAAACGGACTAATGCACTCTCTGCTGCCTCAAAGTACCGCTGACAGCAGATACCTCACGGAGCTCCGACCTCTCAAGATGGCGTAAGCCCTTCCACAAGCATCAGAAAACTCCACACAGTCTAGACACCCACAAATCCAGGCTGGACTCATTATTGCAGGCCTTCTGGGACAGGTTACAGGCACATTCCACTGGTCCAACCAGAGAACGGAGAACAGATCACGGAGGGCAATGGGAGAGACCCCTCCGGGCAACGCACTCACCCAAATGCCTCACCGCACCAACTACTGCCTGCCTAGGCCGAATGCCACTAAAGACATCAACCATACAGGGGGAAGATCTCACGCCTCTGGCGGATGCCCCCTCGCTCTTCTGGGGGCCAGGACTTGTCCGTACACAAGTCCGTGGATGGAGGATGTATGCTCTGATAAAGACCTGGGGCTGGAGGAAAATCTCTCATACATGTCGCCCCCCGACTGATCCCTACAATCAACCCGCACAACCGAATACTCACCATGCTGTTCGCCATCCCTGGCTGAATGCATCTCGAGGCACTGCCTCCTCCCTGCATCTGCTGCACAAGCTGAGAAACACCCGCCGTGGACGCCGCGTGCCATTGCAACCCTCTGCATATCCCAGTCATGGGAGGGGCTTGGTCCCAAAGAGCACCCAAAACCACGGACTAGCAATGCTTACCCTCGCACAGGCCCGGGGCTGGAGGAGAACCCAATACCGCTACACTTTGGTAGATGCTCACTGGGACTTCCCTACGCTTGTACTACCTCTACCGCTGTTGGGGATCGGCTGACCAGGTAACCAAACCTGCAATCGAGGCTCCTCATTCATAGGAGATACCGAATAATTGGACATACCCGATAAGAAACTGTCAGGGCTTACCTGGGTTGGGAGTCCTGGAGGCAGAGATATATGCTCACTCTTGCAAGAAAACACAGGCCGAGGTGGTCAGGTGAGAATTCACCTGGCCTGTGAGTCGGTGCACGGGGGCTGTGCAGGGTAAACTCCAAGTCGCGGTACAGGAACGGATAAAGCAGGAGAATAGTCGTGGAAAGCCAAAGGTCAGAGGATGCCCGAAGTCAGAATCAACGAAATAACAAGCCAGGGTCAAGAGAAACACTGGAGAACAGGCGACAGTAAACCGATAACCAGAGTCAAGGAACTGACGCTGCCTTCTGGGAGAGGCAGTGTTTTATACCTTGCTAACGAGACTATCCACAACAGGTGTACCAGGAGTAATTCCAATTAATGTCCAGCCCCCGGTGCTGGATACTAGACAGGGCAGGAATGAACTTACCGACTGAAAGCAAGAACCGAATGTGGTTCAGAGGCAGAGACACAGACCTGGAAATGCACAAGATCTCAGGTTTAAGTCCCCTGTTGGGCTTTTCCAGGGCGACCATGTCTGTATGTCGCTGTATAACTGTGACAGTACTCCCTCTTTAAGAACGACCTCTAGGCGTGACTAGGTTGTTCATCATTGTTTTCCAGATTGGAAGTACCTTACTGCTCCAAGAGATCAAAGATATCATCTGGCAGCGGGTACGTATTTCCATAGTCATCCATACCATACGTACAGCCCTCCTCCAGAAAAGAAGGAAACACAGCACCAACTGCAACTTTTGCTCTAGCAGTTCTCATAGGAGAGGCAGTCGCAGCTTTCAATGCTTCCTCGAACACCTTTAAATCCTGTTTCCATACAACTGTGCCATTTGAGGCATACGTGCAGTCAGGTGGTAGAACTTTCTTGGCCAGGCAGGAAGTGGTGATGGTGCTTGCTTGAACAGTAATGTCTTCAGGAAGTGGTACAGATGTTTCTGGAGCAGGAGGTGGAGATTCTTTAAGGGTAATTGTAGCTGATTCTAGAGGAACACAGGTTACATTGACTACAGTAGTTTGGGTACCTTTTTGTGTCACAGAACGTGGCCTGGGCTGGCAGTAACCTTGGCGGATTCTTGACTGTGTCGTCAGGATGACAGGATGGGAGCAGACAGTGCCTACTTGAACCGTTTGAGGCAGAGGTGGGCGAGTGGGACAGAGGGAGATAAAGTGCCCTTTTTCTCCACAGTAGAAACAAAGCCCACAACCCCTCCTTCGGTCGCTCTCTTTGGATGACAATATAGTACAGATGAAGCCGATCTCCATTGGCTCCTCTTTTTCCTCTGGAGTCTCCCTCTGGACCGGATCATAAGGAGGCAACAAGGAGGCCTGACGTCGGTACAGGGTCTTGCTCTTCCTGGGAACCTGGGGTTTTCTGGGACGTGGAGCAGGCTTAGTACCAGTAGTCTTGCACTGCGAGTCCATAGCTGTCATGAATGACCCCTAGCTGTCGAGGACAGGACTATTAGCCAGTATCATTTGGTGTGCCCATGACTTGATCCCTCCAGACAGCAGGTTGATAGCCGCACGTACCATAATAAAGTCACTGGCATAGGTACACGGCTTTAAGGCAAATAATATTTCACAGTCCACCTTAAAGCACTGGAAGGATGTACGGCTACCATCGAATCTTTCTGGCATAATGAGGAATGGTTCAGGATAACCAGGTTCCGGGGCTGGGTGTACTGCGCCTTTAAGAAGCACTAATTCTTGCTGTACGCTTGAAATGGTCTGAACCAGACTGGACACTTGCTGGGACAGGGGTGAGAACATCTCTGCGGACTCCATTGGTCAGTTCCTTTTGTCAGGACTTACCTGGGTTGGGAGTCCGGCAGGCAGGGATATATGCTCACCCTTGCAAGAAAACACAGGCCGAGGTGGTCAGGTGAGAATTCACCTGGCCTGTGAGTCGGTGCACGGGGGCTGTGCAGGGTAAACTCCAAGTCGCGGTAGAGGAACGGATAAAGCAGGAGAATAGTCGCGGAAAGCCAAAAGTCAGAGGATGCCAGAAGTCAGAATCAACAAAATAACAAGCCGGGGTCAAGAGAAACACTGGAGAACTGGAGACAGCAAACCGATAACCAGAGTCAAGGAATGGATGCTGCCTTCTGGGAGAGGCTAACAAGACTATCCACCTGGCTAACAAGACTATCCACAACAGGTGTACCAGGAGTAATTCCAATTAATAAGAAACACATCACTGGTTAGGAATGGAACAAGTCCATCCGCCAGGTTGTGATGGTTGAGAGATACAATGGGGCCTAACCCCTAGACGTGCAAAGAGAAAATAGGACTAATGGGTTGCAGATTATAAACAATCTGCCTCCCAAAAAGACCTTGTATCCTTATGTGAAAAAAGCTACTCTGCAATTATAAATATAAAAGTGGAGCGCAGAGAGCAAAAAACGAAAAACTCTTTATTAATCCCTCTTGGGGGAGAAACACACAGATACTAAACAAACAAGTAATAAAATTAGGATCTAATTGGATAGAATCGACTAGTCCAAAAATAATAGTAATATGGTCAGAAGAAATGCTATAAGTATGTGTGTGGCAAATTTGCCATAAATAGTAGCAAATAAATATGACCAAAAGGGGGGAGATACATTAAATGTAGCAAACTGAAGATCTCTAAATGCAAAAGTAAATAGACTCTATAATTAGAACAAAGAGTAAATAACTGCAAATATATATATATATATATATATATATAGATAAATACATATAATTACATAAAAGATTACATTAGTATACACGTAGAATTTAAGTACCTATAAATGCATATATATTAAAATGCTACATGTATATTTGAGTAATCTTTTAACATAATTATGTGATTTGATTAATTTGATTGACATGCCTGACAACACAGTGAGAAAGTGCAAGCACTATATTTGACCCTGCAACTCTCCAAGACACCATAAAACCTGTACATAGGGGTACTGTTTTACTCAGGAGTAGTGATGTCCCGAACGGTTCGCGAACGGTTCGCCACGAACAGTTCGCCACGGACTCATCATTGAGTAAACTTTGACCCTGTACCTCACAGTCAGCAGACACATTCCAGCCAATCAGCAGAAGACCCTCCCTCCCAGACCCTCCCACCTTCTGGACAGCTCACTAAGAATGCAGCTTCAAAATGGATGCTGTCCAGGAGGTGGGAGGGTCTGGTAGGGAGGGTCTGCTGCTGATTGGCTGGAATGTGTCTGCTGACTGTGAGGTACAGGGTCAAAGTTTACTCAATGATGAGTCCGTGGCGAACCGTTCGCGAACCGCTCGGCGAACCATTCTGGGCATCACTACACTATTAGCTGAACTCAAATATTAGTGTTTCAAACTGGTGAATTGTATTACATTGATGATATTTTAAGTAAAAGTGAAGTTTTTTTCATTTTTTTACAAACGAACGGCACTTTTATGGACTATATTTTTGTTGTAATATGTTTTACTGTTTTAAAACACTAATATTTGTGTTTAGTGAAGTCTCCCAAGAATAACAGTACCCCCCATGTACACGTTTTATGGTGTTTTGGAAAGTTAGAGAGTCACATATAAGGCTTGCATTTCATTTTTTTGACATTGAAATGTTGCCTTTTGAGAGCGTATGGTAGCCCAGGAATGAGAATTACCCCCATGATGGCATACCATTTGCAAAAGTAGACAACCCAAGGTATTGCAAGTGGGGTATGTCCAGTCTTTCTTAGTAGCCACTTAGTCACAAACACTGGCCAAATATTAGTTTTTTGCTTTTTTCACACAAAAACAAAAATGAACGCTAACTTGTGCCAGTGTTTGTGACTAAGTGGCTACTAAAAAAGACTAAACATACCCCACTTTCAATACCTTGGGTTGTCTACTTTTGCAAATGGTATGCCATATGTAATTTGACCCACACTTACAGGGCATCAAACTTGCACTCAGGTGTCAAAGACCATCGGCTGACTTGTCCTTCTAGTTATTCCCCGTACCCCCACTGTCACTGTCTCCATTGTCTGATTTTCACTCTCAACGATTCTCTAGTTCTTTCTTCTCCCTTGTCATCGTCTGCATTCTTCTGACTTTTTATAATTTATTTGTGTTTTATGAAGCCCCCTTACTGCCTATCTGTTTCAGTGGATGGATGCATCATCTCTGGGGTCTAATGTGAACTGCACAGAGCTGGGCTGATATTAAGATACCAGCTTATTATAACTCACCTCACTATACGGTGGGGGTTGTGACTTTTATCTACTCAGTTATATCATACACATCTAACTGGGATTAATAATCTAATTGGAATTTTTGTTTTACATCACCTGTGTAATCCTTAGGATCCACATTATTGAGTTGGACTCTTTAGGGTGAATATTATACGTATGTAATTACTTTTTATACTGTTTATTTTTATTTGTAAATCTTTCAGTTTTTATGCTTTAATGTATATATTATAAATATATATACGAAGCAACAACCAAACCACTGATGGTGGGGAAAAAATTGTGATTGAAAACTCCTTCCACCTGAAGTCTGTGGATAGTTAATACAATGTTAAACAAAAATCTGCACACCAGTCAAGCCATAAGACTTGGCTTTTCCCACAGAAATCACAGATTTGCAGTGATGTTACTAACACAAATGATTCTGGGTGGGCATATACAAATTAGTTCAACAAAGAATCACATTTTTGCCTTATTCCATTTTAAACATGGATTAATTTGAGTCTGTGTTTGCTGTATACAACAGCTTTGAAACACAACTTAGAAAAAGATGCAAAGCCAGTGAACCACTCATGGACAGCTGTTTCATTGTTAATGCAAATCATCACCATGCGGTTGGTTACTGGCTTGTTATGGAGGCTTGCAGGTACAACCAAACAGTATTTTTTGTGGGAAAAGCAAGTCTTATGGCTTGACTGGTGTGCAGATTTTTGTTTAACATTGTATTAAATATATATATATATATATATATATATTTATTTGTGTTAGGGGCAAATAGCCGTATATGGAGTAAGGTTCCAGCATAAGCGTAGGATAGTATAAAGGAGCAAGTCGGTTGTGGTGTGCCGAGACCGACGATACGGTAGGCCTGTAAATAAAGAGGGCCCACCAAGGAGTAAGAAAAGAAAAGTAAATGGAAAGAAAGAAAAAAGTGTTGAGAATCTGGAGTGGTGGGAGGGTCATTCAGATGCTGACCTCGAGCGGTATGGAGTCAGGTAAGGGTTGTCCCTTATATAGGTAAGTGTATTTATCTTAAGCGGCCTTGTGATACGATGAGCATGGCAAAATTAAGGAACCTAGTAGGGATTGTAGTTCCTTGCGGTTGTAAGTACTAAGCAGGAGGTAGTGATGATGTTGTTGAGAATGTTACCTATTTTGTCCTGTGGTAACTTGCTTGTATGGATGCCGAGTCTAGTTGTATGCCCAGGAATGTGATGATAGTGTCTGGGCCTTCTTTTCTAATGGGATACTGGGACGCCCAAGTGGTCAACCAGACTAATGCTTCCTTGAAGCTTCTAGGGAAAAAGGGTGTTATCTTCGACCAACAAGTCATATAGATAGTGTATGACTGTGAGGGCTCTGGATATGTTATCACAACCAGCACAGAGTTCTGCGAATATCGAAAATTGTTGGACTAATCTTTGACCCGAGAGTTGAGCGGGAGAAGAATTAGTAACTACCTGCCCATTTAATGCCATGTAAGTGCCAGTGTGTAGGGTGGATGGTAGCCGTTTGAATGTGTTGATGATATCAGTCTTACTTAACCAAGCTGCAACCCATGCTTGAGTGGTAACTGTGAAGGTAGATCAATGGTGGCATATTGTAAGGAAAGTCCTCGGAGGGTATGAGGGAGTTTAGACTTGGGGAAGCAGAGGTGTGTGGTGCCGATAAGTCTATGGTTAGTCTATGTTTAGGGAAGATTTCCCTGTGACAATCTCAATGGGTTTGTGTGCCATTCTGTAAATGGTGGAGATTGGGAAAGCCCAAGTAAATCTTGGCTATGAGTGTGTTTACAGTCGATGGGTTCCGTTGTGCTGACTGCAAGTGAGGGCATGCTAGATTCCCTGAAGGTATATGTACGATACCTGCATAGGCGCCCTCTGAAACTCCAGAGCTTTAGTAACTCTACTACAAGTCAGTAGTGTTGAAAATGCATTGTTGTTTACAGATGGTGAGTATGGCTTTGTAAGTTGTATTGGAACACATGGTTTGTCATGTGCCCTGAATCATTTGAACATGTATGCAACAGTCTATATGCACTGCAACTACACATACCAATATTAACTTGTTACAAATCTGGGATTTGCCAAAAAGAAAATGGGATAACCCAATTGTCTCTAGTAGTTCGCTCCGTTCTACCAGAGGTGTTGGTACCTGGAGCCTGATAGTGATCGTCCGTTTGGTTGGAAGTAAATGTTTTGTTGTGTGGATATTGAGAGAGCATGATGCACAAGCTGGTGTTTTAAGACCTGCAAAGTGTCTGTAGAAAATCTCTGTATCCAGTCTGCTCCAGTTGATTCTGTTACCAAACTGGGAGAGAGCGCCAGACACCTTGGTAGAAAGTGACCTATGATAGTGGTAAAACTGGACCACCATATGTTTCCTAGGTCTACCAGCTTGTGCATATGGATCGAATGCTTCCCTTCTGTTAGGGTACATGCACAAATAAACATCTCTGTATATTCCAAATACCAAAACAACTCAGTGATGGTCAGTTTCCAATTTACCTGAAATCCCTGGATCTGATCACCACAGATACATCGTCGTACATATATATGCTTTGTTTCCCACTGTGCTGGGATCATATGTGCAGGGTTAACGTGCTGAGTGTCAGGAGAATTGATTGTACCAGGTAACCGAGTTTCGGTTGGTGCTGGTTGTACAGTAGCGGGCGGCCCAGCCTTGTGAGAGCTGTGGTGACCGACTCGAGATTGCCAGTATGTCGTTAATTTTTTGCTCAGAGAGGCTAGCATGGCCTGGGTGCTACCTGAGTTGGTGTTGCTGGGGCCTTCCTCCACCTCTGTGTTGTCCGTTGATGCGCGGAGGAGTTTAAATAACTCTGCTTTCTTTGCTGTGTCAGGGTAGGGGATTTGTCACCTCCTTAGCTCGCTGGTAATGTGTGGGATCGTCCAGGATCTGATTGATGCTGGACTAGCAACATCTCCTCTGCATGAAGGTGTATCGATTCTAGCCGGGGTGCTAGGAAGAGATAATTCTTTGCCACCTTCTTGAGACATACTTAAATAACAATAAAGATTGCAATTATTATTTGAACCCAGGGGTTTTGTACTGGCTTGCTAGCTAAGCCGTAAGGTGAAACAATTGGTGACTGGTGAGGCCCTGCTAGTTGCCAAGTGACTTGAGAGGCTCTATCTATGCGTTGGCGTGAGGGGATTTTTTGTGACCACTAGAGATGTCCCGAACAGTTCGCCGGCGAATAGTTCCTGGCGAACATCGCATGTTCGCATTCGCCACGGCGGGCGAACATATGCGATGTTCGGTCCGCCCCCTATTCCATATCATTGAGTAAACTTTGACAACCCCCCCACCCGCCGCTCGGGGGTGGGGGTTGTCAAAGTTTACTCAATGATATGGGGGGGACCTACTGTCCTCCCCCCGGCCCCCACCCCTGAGCGGTGGGTGGGGGCCCTAAAAAAAACAATAGGGGGGGAACTTCTGTCCTCCCCCCGGCCCCCACCCCTGAGTGGTGGGTGGGGGCCCTAAATACTAAGAAGGAGGGGGGACCTTGCCCAGCCCTGCAATTAGGCTCAGAGCACTCTGATTGATGGGTTTAAGCCATCCAATCAGAGTGCTCTGACAGGTAAATGAAGAGACTGACAGGTAAGTCTCTACATTTACCTGTCACAGCACTCTGATTGGTTGGTTTGAAATCCACCAATCAGAGTGCTCTGTGTCATTTTACACAGCGTGGGAAAGTTCTTTGGAATTTTCCCACGCTGTGTAATTTGACTCATAACAACGCTCTGATTGGTGGATTGAAAGTAACCAATCAGAGTTATGAGAGCTCAGTCTCTGCAGAGCTCAGTCTGCGCGGAGCCCTCGCCGGGTGAAGATGGATTTTTTTTTTTTAATTGCGTCGGTTATTATGGTTTTTTATTTGGCCTTTTTTGGGGCTGAAAAAAGAAGATTTAGAAGAAACAAAACATTGAATGGTAATTTTATTTTTTTTTTTTACAGGTACTTAGTTAAAGGTCCCCCCCTCATTATTTTTAGGGTGAGGGGGGTAGGTAGGGGTTTTTTTTGGGGGGGAGGAGGGGTGACTAGGGTTTGGGACCCTAGTCACCTGGGGACTTTTTAGGGCCCCACCCGGCCAGTCAGGTAATGGGGAGGACATTAGGCCCCCCTTAGTATTTAGGCCCCACCGCCAGGGGTGAAATGGGGAGTGACATTAGGTCCCCCTTTTAGTATTTAGGGCCCCCACCCGGGCCAGGTGGAATGGGGGGAGGACATTGTGGGTCCCCCTCCCTTTAGATGAATGCACCAGCCAGGGAATAGGGGAGGACAGTAGGTCCCCCTCATTATTTTTATGGCCCCACCCACCGCGCGCAGGGGTGGGGGCTGGGGAGGACAGTAGGTCCCCCCTTATTATCTTTATGGCCCCCACCCGCTGCCCAGGGGTGGGGGCCGGGGGGGAGGACAGTAGGTCCTCCCCCCATTGTAATTTATAGCCCCCACCCGTCGCACAGGGGTGGGGGCAATAGGTTTTTTTTGGGGGGGGGGTTTTACAGTGAGCAGCCACTGGCTGCTCACTGCTTACTAGACATGCCCCTACTCGCTGCATAGCGAGTAGGGGCAGAATTTACTAATACTAAGTAATTTGTACTTAGTATTAGTAAATGTGGCTGAAAGACCAATTTAGGTCTTTCAGCCTTTTAGTAGATAGCTCTCTAATACGGTGGGAATTAGGGAGTTATCTACTAAGCGGCTGCAAGATGCAGCCGCGGATTGAAGTTTGCATGCCACAGTCCAGGTGTTAGTCCCCTTGAAACAACTTTTCCATCACTATTGTGGCCAGAAAGAGTCCCTGTGTGTTTTAAAATTCGCCTGCCTATTGAAGTCTATGGCGGTTCACCCAGTTCGCGGGTTCGTGAACATTTGCCGAAATTCGCGTTCGCCATTCGCGAACCGAAAATTTCATGTTCGCGACATCACTAGTGACCACCAAATGTAGTGGCATGATGTTGGCCTCTCGGTGACAGTAACCAGAAAATAGAAAGGGGAGTGACAGGTGAGGCCCTCTCTATGATACAATGGAGGCAGCTAGCTCATGAGTGGCCCGAGGGGTTTATGCCTCCGAGTGTGCGGGGTGTTGGCCTCGCGGGACCACTAAACCGAAGCGTAATGTAGAGAAAAGGGGGGGTAATACCTATTGGACCCTAGAACCCTAATTGCCAGTACGTTATTACTATTCCAGGGAAGGTAAGATATGGATATACTAAGTGAGCAGGTGTACGTACCTGGTAGTATGGTATTGAACCTTACAATCCGTATAGGTTTTTTTAGTAGTACCTGTAACCTAAATAGAAAAAAAATGTATGGCATAGACCAGGCTTATCTTAATAGGTGCAGTATGTGCGAAAAGTAAAGTGCTGTGATGTGTAAATATTTAAACATCGTAGCCATACTGGTTAGGGTTAAATATGTATAAATCTTAACCCATTACGTGCTGTATGTACAAGTGATAAAGTGGTCTGTTCCCACTTTGTATGTTGTATGTCCCCTTGCTAGAGGAAAAGTCTGTTGTGTGAGCAGCATACTTTGTGAAAAATGTGTTTACCGGTTATATTACCGGTTACATATATGCAGATGTGCCTGCTACTGTGTAATAATATGTGTACTTATACCAGATGTTGATATACTACTTGCTATGTGAATTGCTGTATGAATTGCTGTATGTCTTATTGACCGGTAGGGGTCAGCGAACATGGTGTTGCAAAAATGCAAGTGCACTTGAGATCTGCAGAGTGCCCTGTAGGTGGCAGTGTAGTTAGAAACTGTTGTTTGTGAGTTATTTGTCCCGACCGTAATTATCTGTATGGAACAAAATACAAGCTGAGCCCATTCAGGAGGTTGTAACTATGCGAAAAACGTGTAGCCTGGTGTAACCGGCAGTGGGTCAAAAACAGTGGTCCCATTCAAGGGTTTTTTAAGCCCGAAACGTGAGCTATTTAACCTGGGAAATGCTGTGACAAGCTGTCATGTATGCATGAACAGAGAAACGAATGACAGACAGAAAAGTAAAACACATGGATTTGCTGTTTGTGCGGTTGTAACACATGAACGGCAATGCCTACATAGAATGAATGATACTGAATATGTTCTCGTTCGGGAGTCTGCAGCCTTATTACTGAAAATGTGAAACACATGTGTCACGGCAAGGGTGCATAATTTATTATTACACTATGGAATATTATCCTTTAATGTAATTTGTGTAGTAAATGGCACAAATTACAGAGATGGTATTGTTGAGGTCAAACAAGGTTACATCTTTTGAAGCTGGGACCCCCACAGAGGTCAGATGACAGAAGGGGTAGTATGAATGGCATAGCAATGTGAAAGCGATTTTACTATATGTGAAGTAATCAAGGCTCTGCAAGGTTTGAGGTTCTACACTTGGAAAAAGTCTGAATATCTATTCATCCATTTGGCATGTACCTTGTAAGGGATGAGCAAATCTCTTTTATATGTAAATGCCATTAGCCTTGTTCCAGTATCATATCCAAAGGAAAGACAGAAACATTCAAATTTACCCCCACAGAATAATAATAAAGCCTCATTTTTGTTATATTTAGAATGTGACAAGCGCCATCTTCTAACCAAGTCCAAACATGATTGGCCTAACTTGACCATAGGGGAAGGAATTGTGATGTCCATCCTATCGGATCGCAAGGCCGGCATGCAACATATGTATAGGATGGGAAAATAATAACAAATTCATAGAGGCAATTATTATTTCTGTGGTGGGTACATAAGAGAAGATAGAACCAAATGTTTCCATTTGGATTGATCTGGGTCTGGACACAAGGGGGTGGTCACTTATTATTATTTCTGTAGGTACGCCTTAACTCCACTTCTGGATGAGGCGTGGTAATCCACAGGTTATAGCTCTAATGATCCTGAAGGGTGCTAGTGTACTTGCTTGGGACCAAGATCTAATTTTGAGTGAGTCACCATCATCCTTCCTTGCCAGAGACCCCCTTGACAGAAGTTGTACTTTGAAAACCCAAGTGAGTAATTAGGACTTCTGTATTTTATCCTTTATCTGTATTTTTATCTGTTGTTGGTGTAAATAATTTGTTTATCATATATTTTTATATGCACTGAAGAGACTAATTAATATTTTTGCAATTCCTTAATATTGTCCTAAGTAATATTAGGTGGATTTTATTATTGATTTACCTGGGGGACCAAGGCACCCCATTTATAACTTGTCTTGGTGGTGGCAGCATTAAAATAGTAATAGTTATATTATTATGTTTAAGTATGGGTGGTGTTAAAAGGGACAATTGAAAATGTTGTCTCCAGGTTACTTACCTCCATTATAGAAATGGAAATCATTACCAACTTTTAAGAACACAGCAACTGGTCCATCCACTGCCAGCACCTTGGCGATGTTGCCACTTCGGTTTAGAGAGTAGAACTTGGTAATGTTAATTTTAACTGCATCTTCTGGATTGTACAGACAAGTAAACGCCTTAGAAAAAGTAAAGAGAATGGAGATTGCGTGTCAGAACAACTTTTGTTGTTGAAAGTGATTTCTTGGATAGTGGCACGGGGAAAACCTGTGCAATTTAACAATTACTACTACACTCCAATCCACCACAATAAGGTTGGTACAGGAAGAGTTAGAGACCATTTGTCACGTCCCAGGTAAATTGAGCCTCATCTCTAATCCCATATACATAGACTGGTGGAAAAGGGGAGGCCATTCATCTATCTGGTTAATCATGGAGACTCTTTGGTTATATGTATCAACACAACATTCGCTTTAAGAAACACTACACCGTTAGGAATACAAAAATGTTTGTATTCCTGGCACTATAGTTTCCCTTTACACACAGGAGGCACATGAGGGCTTTAGCAGGCTGTTAATAGAGCAAGAGATAGGAAATTCTAAATTAAGCAGAATGTGCAATTAAGGAACCTAGAATATCTGGGTTCCTTTTCAGGAAGTGTTTAGGAAAGCTGCAGGGAGGCAAGTCTAGGTCTGTATAAACAAAGTGATTTAATTTCTAAATGGTAGAGACTTAAGCAGTGAGACTGCACGGGCCACGATCTGTATACCAAAACTGCATTATTAAGCTAAGGTTGTTTTGGTGACTATAGTATCCATTTAATCATGGGGTACAATAGAAGGCAAAAGAATATGACATTGTATCATGGTGCCCCTGTCTATCATTGTGTAATGTGATAGTCTTTACTGAGAATGGAGAGAGAATTAACACATCAACCTTTAACTTTCTCTACAGGCTCAAGGTCAGAAAAACAGTGAATGTCTCTGTTTCAAACAGAACTTGCAGTCCCAAAATTAATATTTTTTTTTTTTTTTTAAGTTTCCTGCTTTGACCTGTCCACCAAAATCTGATGATGAAAAAGTTCCTTTAAGTAATGTTTACTCATCTCATTTCCACTATAAAAACACATATGCTGCAGCCGCCCACTACACCTCTGTTTTGTCAGGAATTCTTCTGACATCTCCCACCTCCTCGGCCAATCCAATGCTTCTCAGAGAAGCACCGGGCATAAGATATGCTTGCGCGGCAATACTTCACACATATCCAGTCAAATGCTCTCTATTTTATTGAAAAACTGAGTCTAACTTGGTTCTCACAGGGGAAGCACCTTTAGTGGCTTTCAGGAACACAGCCGTATGAGGTGTGTTTAACCCTACAATGAAAAAAAATGTGGTTTATATAGAATGGCAATGTTTTACATTGCAGGGTTAAAACAGGGGCACTGCACCCAGACCATATCATTGGCCCCCAAGCCATGTATATCATTGTATATAATTTAGTGTTTTAATACAGGGGTGTGTTTGAATGTAATGTTCTCTTTTAAATGCGGGTAGGCGCTGTGTAATTTGTTTGCGCTTTATAAATGCCAGCAATAAATAAAAAATGTACATTTTGTGTTAAGTATTGGTGTTTTAGTGAAGGGGTGTGTTTGTATGTACTATTTGTGTTAGATTGCAGGAGTGTGTTTGAATGTTGTCCTGGTGTTTGACTGCTTGGAGGTATGCACATACATTACCACATACATACATACATACAGATATATATAAACTGACACATACACACAAATTCATAGACACTGACACATACACACACACACACACACATATATACTCACACACCTTAACACAAGCATACAACAACATATACATACACACACAAATGCACACACTGACACAGATACACGCACCCTGACACACGCAAACACTGACACATGCACACACTATGACACAGTTACACACACTGACATAAACACACACACACACAGATGCATATACACAGATGTACATCCTGACACATCGATGTGTGGGCTCACATACACTCACTGACACACAGATAAATACACTGACATATATAGACACAAACACTGATGCACACCCTGACAAACAGATGCACACACACAGGTGCACATCCTGACACACACAATCTGACTTACACATAAACACATACAAGTCATATTTTTTATATCTGCAGGCACCCTCCTGTTAGCTTACCTTATGTCCAGGAGGGTGGCTTGATTTTACTCCTGGTCCTCTTCTGGCTGGTAGGAATGTGGGGTCTGGAGCAGCATTTCGTGCTCCTCTCCACTCATGCTGAATCTGCCTGAGCAGCTGCCGCCTTCCTCCTGCGCTTTGTCTCTGCAAGAAGCTGGGAGGACGTGACGGACTGTCACTTCCTCCAAGCCGGCCGACTCTACAGGTGCCCGGTTGCTGTCTTAAAGGGCCTCGGCACCCAACCGGGCCCCTATTCAGCAGAAATGTTTCCCGGTGCTATGATCATAGCACCAGGGAAACATTTCACGGTGCCCCTGTGTGCCCATCAGTTTAGGAACCGCAGCTCTAGACAGTATGCAATATCATTTATCTAGAGTCCCTTTACTCCTCCACTCTTCCTGACTGTAACAATGATATGATCCATTAAAACTTCCTGTACTGTTTGGAAGCAGGGTGTGAGCTTACATTTTAATTTATATTTTAAATTTGCATTATTTAAGTGACTAGAGGCATCTGACAAAGAAGTTCATTCCTCTACAGGCTGGTAATCATGACTACAGTATATATAAGGGTCAGTGAGGCTTTATGACCTACATTTCAGACTGCTAAATACATGAAAGTCAAACGTGTACCTCTCTTGTTTTCTGTGGCTTTTGCATTCTTCTTGTAGTTTTGTATTTCTCTTGAAACCTTCCTGTCCCTTTGGTTAATGTTATCATCCTCTTCTGATCCCCTCATTCCATATATTTACCACCCCATGACCTCCACATACATATTGTTGTTGCTTTTGGACTTTTCCCTTGTCCAATCTCTCTCAACATACTTCACAGCGGCTTCAGCGTGTAGATCCACACATTGCTCCCTTCTTGCTGAATAACCCACCCTTTAATTTATACCTCATTTCCCGCTTCTGCAATCTATCGGTGGGAGAATAAAATGCTTCTATCTCCTGAAACCCACACGTTGCTTTAGAATTCAATCACTAGGAACCCAGATAGACTTTTCTTTCATCACACAACATGAGTATGAATCACGATTACTATTTTTTAGTCAAATGGATAATAAATCCATGTTGACAAGAGAGGCCTGAAATATATAAAAACAATTACTACCACAAACCCTGTGAAATAGAAAAATGTTAAAGCTTAGTGTGTTCAACACATTTCATATGGCTCTTGTATGGTAAGCTGTTAGAAATATTAAGTTATTTTATTTTCTAATAAAAACATAAGTCCGGTACCGTCTGAGTGTATTCATAGTCCTTGCTCTGCATGAGTCCTACTTCATCAACATGTTCAAAGGAAAGTTCAGGGTCTCCTCCACAGCAGCTACCAAGACAGTCAATTAGTTGCTGCTCACTAAAACTAAATAGCTCATTGTTTTTGAGGCAGTAACGGCTCTCAAGGACGCCCACCTACAAAAATAAAACAGAACAAGATTATCATGCGAACGTTATTTAAATAATAGAACATTCATCCTGCAGTGGAGGCTCATCCAGAAGGACACTTTGTGCAATGCCCCACCAGTTTTTATGTGGGAAAAAAAAACAAACATTTGAAGTAGTTTAGAAACAATAAGATTAGTGGTTAGCCAAAAAATATGGAGGGGAAAAAATAGTGTCTCTTTTTCTGTAATAGGTCTCAGTTCTCCAGTTTTTCAGTTTTCCCCTTGTTTGTAGAGTGAGATCATCAAGATTGATTGCGATGGCTAAGGTGAGTAAAAATGCTGGAGGAGTAACCTAAACAGTTAGTAGGACACTATACCGTTAGGAACACATGTTTGCATTCCTAAAGCAATAGTGGTGTGTAATAAGATTAAAAAAACAACCTTAGCTATCTTTTAATAAGTTACTGAGATGTGCAAAAAGATTCCTCTACAAGCAGTTCTTTCCTGGTCATTTGTGGGTAAAAACATATGTATACAGACAAACACATATATAAAAGTACAGATATAAATGATAATAAACACAACAAATAAACACCAATCTAATTTTTCTTTAGGAGTGCAATAATCCCCAAAAAAGGTTTTTAAAAAAGTGCTTTATTTAATTGCTTCTTTTAATCCTAAACAAGCTAGTAAATTAGGTGGACAGCGCTAAGAATTATTATAATAAAATCATACATACACAGGTAGCTGCAGATTTCGCAATTATGTGTCTTACTCTTAAAAAAAGGAAATAAAAAGTATAACGATAGTGCAGTATGTTATGAATAATATGGTGATAAAGATATATTCCAAAGGGGCACTCACGTTTTCCAGAGCTTAAAAAGCTCTATTTTAGGAGCCTGGACGGAACAATCCTCGTCTAAGGATTTCTTTTGTTGGTATCAGATTCCCAAGGTAGAGCTTTTTAAGCTCTGGAAAACGTGAGTGCCCCTTTGGAATATATCTTTATCACCATATTATTCATAACATACTGCACTATCATTGTACTTTTTATTTCCTTTTTTTAAGAGTAAGACACATAATTGCGAAATCTGCTGCAACCTGTGTATGTATGATTTTATTATAATAATTCTTAGCACTGTCCACCTAATTTACTAGCTTGTTTTGTTCTATTGTTCACAAGGTAAAAGGAACTCCTTGTTGGTGAATAGCTGCTTTATTGGATAGAGAGCACATATCACTTTTTTCACTATCTGTTTTCTTTTAATCCTAAATTGATGACATATTCATTGCTTACCGCTGAAAATGCCCAAGATACATCACAAAAGTCCCCCTCATTTTTTACAGGACTGACACACCCAGAATTCCTCCAGTCAACTTCCTCTGGAATCTCTGGATAACCAGACATTCCTTTGGCAGGTTTTCCTTGAAAAACTGCTGCTTTTGGAGCATTTAGCTTTGGACAAGGCATTCTGCTTTTCTGTGTACGTTCTTGCGAGGTCTGAAATAAATTGATCACAGACCAATGTGAATTCAAAGAAAGGTCATACATTTAAATACACTTTTTATTTTTGTTTATCATTAATTCAATAATTGACACCTGCAGTTGTATCATGTTGCACTTTGCTGCTGACACACGCATTTCAAAACTTGTAAAAACACACAAAATAAAATATGCTCTATCCAATGGCCGCTCACCATTCCAAACATCTAAGACTGTGATTCTTAATATTCTTTTTTTTACAGGGACCCGAATTACAATGCATAATTTAATTTTAAATGTACTCTTAAATTGTGAGAATAGACAGACAGACAGACGAAGGGATAGACAGACAAATAGATACACAATATGTTCAGCAAACCCCTAACTAGATTCTTCTTTGAAGTTTTAAAGGGTTTCCATTACACTGGGGAAGGCATTGCTGCTACAATCAATATTTACGTTGCAGGGTTAAAACTGCCTCTACCAGACAGCCACTAGAGGTCCTTCCTACATTTTCACAGAGTTTGCGTAATATGTACCCCTCAGGTAATCAGGAAAAGAATCAGGTAAGTGTTTAACGCGTTTTTAAGCCTTTTGTTGTTGCTGGGGGAGGGGGCAGAGGGACACTGTAGTGTTCAGAATACAGCTTTGTATTACTATATACACAGGTCTCCCAATGTATTATACAATGGACCTCAAAAGAAACAGAAACAACAAAAAAATAATAGTGCAATACAGTAGATGAAGCGTATAAGTGGTAGGTAATTAAGTGTCACTGCCACTCACATTCTTTTGAGCTAATTCAGAGCTCTGCTGTTTTGCGCATGGACAGAACAATCCCCATCTAAGGATCTAAGTTGGTGTGGTCACCACAGGTATCTCAGATAAGGTGCAAGGTGCAGAACATATGTGGGAGCAAATGCAAACAGAAAAACTCCAATGGTGAAGTAGGTACCGATTGATAAATCAGATTAATCAGTATAGTCTTGTACTCACTTTTGCTAGAGCAGGACATACTCTAGTATAACCAGCATGGGTGGTATAATCACCACCTATGGACATGATGATACCAGGAATCAGTGGATAAATTAAAAAAGTAATATGTAAAAATATGTAAACTTTAATATAGCTAACAAAAAAAATAATAAAGGAGTATAAAAAAACAGTATGTAAAATACTATAATGAGTTCCACTTTACGCATTTATCAATCGGTACCAACTTCACCATTGGAGTTGTTCTGTTTGCATTTGCTTCCACATATGTTCTACAGCAACAAATACATGTTTGTGTTCATGACTCTATAGTGTTCTCTCTGTTTTCATTCATTCTGTTCTTGGCTTATTGCCTGTTTCTACTTACTGCTCGGTAATTTAACTGCACATTTGGTTTCTTCACTAAAATTACATAAAATGTGGACAGCAGACATTGTTCATTTCTTCTTTATGAGCAGTTTCATTTTAAAGAACAATATAGAACTACATGATTGAATAACTACATAGAACCCCTACACCCCAGGTGCTCTATATACGGTGCCTGCACAGGAAAAAGACTTGTGATGTCACATCCAGTTTATCATCAATACGCTGACTGGGGCTTTACATGTATATGCGCATGTTATCTTACCCCTAGATTATCTTGCTTAATGCCAAAGAAGAGGACAACAAGAGGACATAGTCTTAAATTAGAGGGACAAAGGTTCAAAAATAATATCAAGAAGTATTACTTTACTGAGAGGGTAGTGGATGCATGGAATAGCCTTCCAGCTGAAGTGGTAGAGGTTAACACAGTAAAGGAGTTTAAGCATGCGTGGGATAGGCATAAGGCAATCCTAGCTATAAGATAAGACTAGGGACTAATGAAAGTATTTAGAAAATTGGGCAGACTAGATGGGCCGAATGGTTCTTATCTGCCGTCACATTCTTCAGACAGCAAGATAAGCACACACAAAAAATACAAGCTATTCCATTTTTATCTATACATATATCTATTTGACATCAAATACACAGGAATGCCAAATGTTGACAGTTCATGCAGTAACAAACCTTTAAATGGCTTAAATCAGTATGGCCTTGGCTAATTGTTTGTAAACAGCTATGCATGCTTGTAGATGATGACATACCTGTATATGAATTCACCAGACTCCTTCTACCAAACTGATATGTATATATGGAGTTTTCCGTAACGATCTTCAAAATAACAAAATAACTAGTGACTCACCATATCAGCAAAATGGTTCGCAATCAGAGTATACTTCTTCAAACCCTGATTGGCCAATGTATTGTGTTTGTGGATTGTCCGCCAATTTTCCTCCCAAACATTTCTACGAAAATGTTCTTCCTCCTCATTTTTATACTGCTTTCCTATATATAATAAAAATAGAGATCAAATTGACCTTCCAATAAAATGGAGTATATAGAGAGAATGCAGAAAAAAAATCAGCAAAGATTTCAGTAAGAAGTAGGATATTTTATATTTATGAAATAAGAGAAAACAAGTTGTAAGGTTTTCACAATATTACAAATCTAATAATGTTGCAGTTTGATTTCACTACCTGGTTTCACTCCTGTTTTACCTTCTGATTGTTCCTTTGTGCATGTAGTACCTTTGATTTCCTCTAGAAGGTGCTAACTGCCCAGTGCTTAAAGTCTGTCATTGTAGTCCAACGTTGAATAGGTTAGTGCGGAAATTTACTTCTGCATAAGCTAAGCTGCACAAGAGGATCCAGGCAGGGGTATGCAACCTTCAGCACTCAAGATGTCGTGGACTACATCTCTCATAATGCCCTTACAGCTACAATACTGGCAAAGCATCAGGGGAGATGTAGTCCAAAACGTCTATTGTAGAAGGTTGTCTATCCCTGGTGTAGGAGCTTTTGGTGCACCATAACCACTTCAATATGCTGTAGTGGATATGTTGCACAGAACACGCCTTTACTATAACTTACTTCATGCACTTTCACCCAAAGGTCCACTGCAGTTGTGATGGGCAGAAGTTCCCTTGCTTTTGTGTAGTTAGGTAATTGGCAATGTGTCTGTGATTTGCATATTATAATTTTTTCCTGGATAAATGTAAAAGCTGCATAAGTTTCAACAAATGAACAAAAATGAATAATTTAAAAGAAAGCAGATCAAATGGTGAACAGTGTATTAAAGGAGACGAATGCCATTTTACGGTTCTTCAAGATAAGATTTGAAATTCACTTCTAATTTGCAGCAATTCTCACAGCAGCTAATAAACCTGATAAAATCAGGTTATTGCTTAATTTACACCTCATACCTCTCCCATTGATTCTCAATCAAATACCTGTGGAAATAAAGGGTTTAAAATGCACACAAAGCAAAATGAAAGATTTTATTATTTTTTCAGATTTTGCATTATAGCTTTTCTTTGCATTGTATTTGTGGGTCATATTTGTTGCTAATATTTATTATAATAGTGGTATTCTATGCTTACCATATTTGGATTTCCAAAGTTTCCACTCATCATCGAGAAAGTTTGAAGCAGAGCAAATAACTGCTATTACCGAAAAAACAAGCCAATTTTTCTCCAAATTCATAGTAGAAGTAGCAGTTATACACCTAATAAGAGAAGTACACATTTATTGAGATTAAAGGAAAGGTAAAGAGCATCTTACAATTAGTATTTGTAATCATGGGGGAACTGTAATTTTTCTTGAATTTACATCTTTGCGAAAAAACAATGACATTCACCTGTAACTTGCGTTATTTTTTTCCATTTTCTTTTCTTATAAACGTCTAATAAAATATTAGCAAATCACATCACAATGTACATCAGACTGTCAGAGAGCTAAGATGGAAAAACTCAGTTGCAGAATAGAGAGGTATAGAATTCTACAGTTCCTTTCATTTTCCACACCTCACAAACAAATATTTGGTAAATATAGGGGATACATTATTTTAAAAGTCCTGGCAGCTGACAGTTCCTTTTTAAAGGTTATGCAGCTCAAAAGTCCAGTTTATTGGTGGTACAAGATTAAAGGGTTACTCAAAGCACCATAACCACTATAGTCTGCTGTACAGACACAGGGAGCTAATCCTCTCGGCCATTGAATGAGTGTCTGTGCAAATAAATATGCACAAAATGAATATTCTTGTTCTGAGCATGATATTAAACCTGTCAGATATGCATTTACATTTCTGGCAGATAGCTTTACTCTCTCGGTATGCTCATCGGCTCACACTGAAATGCTGCACATACAGGTTCTTTGCACCATGACCACTTTAAAACACCATAGTGGTCATGGTGCTTTGAGTAACCCTTTAAATCAGAATTTAGCTAATTTAGTAAAAGATATCACATTATTGGCAAAGTCCAAGCTAAGTGTGGGCTATTGTTCTATTAACGTTAGATTCAAAAGTGAGCGAGAGTGTATTACAGGCATTGATTGTGTTAATCTACTAAGATTATTTCTAAAGATTAAATCTATAAAAAGAAAGACAGTTATTAAAGGGACACTCCACTGTCCAAAGCTGCAGTTCTCTTGTCTGCTGCCTTTGCAAGCCCTCCCCTTCTAACCACGCCCAGACTTTTTGTGGCTATCCAATCACAGACTCAATAAGAAGTCTGTGCAAGGCAGGTGCTCTGGGCAATTGCTGCCTCTTGAGATTAGCTCCACTGAGCTAACCAAACCAGGAAGTAAAAGGACTGTTGTCTGATTTACAGGGGGTGTAAAAGAAAGTTCATTTATTAAAGGTCCTATTTTTGTACATTTTGTAAAATGAAAAAAAAAAGGACACACTCTTAACACATAACGCACTTCTGCAAGCATCAACGTCTACTGTCCCGCTGAGAGTGGTTTAAAACTACATTGACATGGTTTTATGGGATAAGATCTGACTCCATAGATCAGAATGAGAGGTTCTTGATTGGTGAAGTCTCTTTCTTTTAAACAAGGATGAAGACTGTCTCTCATAGCTCCACAATGGCAGGAATTTTGAAAGTGATTAGGTTTTTGCATTTTAATGATTCTTAAAGACATTTTTACATCATTCTTAATGCATGTTTGTTCTAATGCATGAAAAATAAGGGGTCAATTCCTGCCTATTCTGTCCAGTTAAGAAAATGAAGTTAAGAAAATTATACGGCTGTCAAATATAGTCACCCATGTGCTTGCACGTATTAGCTATGTTCTTTTATATAGAAATGAGGAATATTCAGGGGGTGGGGTTACCAAAAAGTTGAACTTGATCATGAAGAGATCAACATGTGAATTTTTCATTTTGTAATAATTCAGTAGATTGATTTTGGCATCATTTAACCTTCGTCAACAGATGAAGATTAATATTGTTGTGAAGGAATCTCTCACTGTCAGTATTCCCTATGATGTTCATGGAATGTGCAGAACACAGATGCTAACCATTACACAGCTTGAAGATGCCCGGAACAAGTGGTTACATAAATCTTAAAGCCTTTAGCCGGAGAGAAAATGTTTGTTTTTTAAATCCAGAATAATAACAGAAAATCCATTTCCCAGTTTGTCACATATTATTCTTCTGGACTTGATTACTGAGTGTTCTCTGATAAATCGATTATTAAACCAAATCACTTTACCAGACTATAATCAAGTTCGAAAGAATAACATAGCAATTTTGTTGGGATTTTTGTATATATTTTCTATGAAATACAGACTTTGAATTTGATCCAGTAATCGTCCATCAATCAAATAACCTTTTGTTAGCAGCTAATTGTGGCAAATCCCTTTGTTTTTATGTTGTTTGTCTTTTTTTTTTTGTTTTCTCCATTTGCATGTTGGGAATACGTTATGGCAGATAGTGGTAAAAAAAAAACAAAAAAAACACACTGTTTTTTAAAAGGTATAATAATGGATATTGTAGATACTGATTACCATAAACATTATTTAATCATAAAAAAGAAAACCACTTAAACTCTGAACATTCTGCTAATAAAAATCTAATAATGTTGGCGCATCCAATATTCACTAAAGCTATGGACACATATATGCAAATGCTCACAGGTTAATCTACCGTTAACTGAAAAAAGTACTTTAGAGTTAGAGTTTAGAGTTAAAAAATTATGTAACTATGCCTACTGATTTTTATTTTACTTCGAAACTATCTTTTTTCTATCTAGGTTTTGAGAACAAATAGATAGTTGTCCCAAATGACTGTTGCATGACTTTGTTGAATACCAAACCTCACTCGCTGTAATGATGTTTTGCTAAATATGTCTCGATTTATAGTTACTTTATAATACTTCTATGTTAAGTATGATGTATCACTTACCTGATTGTTCAGTCTGTCTGGTTTGACTTATACATATCACAGTCAGATTTCTGCCTATTTAAAGGCAATTTTGCTGCCAAATAACATATATTATCATCATCAGATCTGCAATCATAACAGTTGTAGGAAGCTGTTTAACACTCACTGTTCTGATAAAGACTACCAACTGACCTAAGCTCAGTTACTCTTTTTTTTTTTCAAGGAAGTTGGCATTTGTATGTAGAACCTTTAATACAATGTTTTCAAATGTCAGTAACTTTTGCATTTTTCAGACACTAGGTTACAATTATGCTAATCGAATTCTGAGTTATTCCCAGATATTATGTACAGGAATAAGATCCCAATGCAGGTTAGCAGGTTATCATTCGGTTCTTCACTTAGAAACCTACTATCTTTATACTAGTAACAGCTAGCTTGGGTTTGGATTTCTATTGGATGTGAGTACAAAAACCCAAAAAGCAATGAAATAGGAAGTCATTGACCACAGAAACACCATACACAGAAACAAACACTGCTTTGCAGGATCGTAGATAATCACTAACATAGTAAGGAAACCTAGAATCTATAGTGTAAACAGGCATTTTGCCATCCAGGATGTGCATGATGTGGCACCATGTAGGTCAGGGGTAGGCAACCTTGTCCAATGTTGTGGACTACATCTACCATAATGTACTTTCAGCCATAAAGCTGGCGAAGCATCAAGGGAGATGTACTCTACAACATCTAAAGTGCTAAATGTTGCCTACCCCTGATCTAGGTCACCAAAGGGTTATAGTTCAAGGGACACTATAGGCACTAAAACCATTTACCTCATTGACTTAGTTATTGCCCTAAAGTCCCCCTGCTATCATCACTTCCACCATCAATTTTTGACAAGTTTAACACCGACAGGGTTATCACTAAAGTCCAAATGGCCCAATACTGCTAAAGTTAGTTCTTCCTTAGTTTAAGCAGCACAGAGGGCATAGGCTGTGCAGGGCCTCTTGTTGAGCAAAAATAGTTTAACACTGAACTGAAGGTCAGCCCAAGGCAACTCCAGATAGTGTAGCCACTTCAATGACATTAATAAGATACAGTGCCTACAGTGTCCCATTAAATGTTATCAGAACACTCTTGGAAAAAAAGTAGAGGACAAACTGTTTCTTAATTTTTAAGCTTAAATTCGTTTTTTGCAGTTGTTTTCATGTACCTTACTATCATTGTGTTATTATTATTATTTATTAATAAAGCGTCAGCATACTCCACACGCCATATTCTGTTTATGGGTACAATTGTTGCAATTAAAAAGATGGTGCAATACATCTGAGAGACAATACAAAATTTGACAAACAAGGAGTTGAGGGCTGCACTCCTGTGGGAACTTACCATCTAGATGGTTAGGTTATTGGCTGCCCTACTAACTTGTCCTGTGAAGAGGCGCCCATAAGTTTAATTTTCCCCTCCTGCAGCTGCATGTCCTGTCCTCTCGCGAGCCATGGCAACGCTCTGGCATGCATTACATACCACGCACAGCGTTGCTATGGCAACCTCTGACACAGCTCACGCCGCTCATGAGAGGACAAGACATGCAGCCGCAGGAGGGGAAAATTAAACTTCTGGGCCCCTCTTTACAGGACAGAGCATAATGTGCCACTTGACTAACAGGGAAACCTGTGTCCCCCCTCCTGACAGGGGGGGAATAAACTTAATTGTAAATTTGAAAAAAGAAAATCACCCCTCACATCCCTCTACACACACAGAACACACTACACATACACAGACACTGCATCCACTACACAGATACACTCTCTGCATACACTACACACAGTCACTACATCCACAACACACACACTGCATCCACTACATACACACTGCTTCTACTACACACAGACTCTGCATCCACTACACAAACACATTCTTTGCATACACTACACACACACTGCATCCATTGCACACACACTCTGCATCCACAATGAACACACTCTGCATCCACAACACACACACACAATGCATCCCCTACATAGACCCTGCATTCACTACACACTGCATAACATAATGGATGTGCGCATGGTTTTGGTGAGGGAGGGCAGCATTTCATCTTTGGACTCAGGCAGCACAATGTCTTGGGGTGGCCATGGGTGAGAGGTCAACCAAGAAGAAAAGCCAGATAAGCAGCCATTTACATGAGAAAGGACAGATGGACAGAGATCGGTGGTGGAGAGGTAGAGCTGAGTGTCATCAACATAAGATGATATTTGAAGAAGTATTTTGCAGACATATCTAATTTTTTTGGAAAGAGATAGAAGATTTTTTTTATAAAGGTTACGTAGTTTGGTCAGTTAGATTAAAAAAAAAGCAGTTAGAAAATCATGTGGTTAGTATTCAATTATTGAGTATCTTGATAGCAGTCACGTTCCTTACAACCACCAAACTCATATCTCTTGATGAAATGGAATTTACTGACTGTCCAGTTAAATAATACAAGTAATACAAGTGAAAACAAATACATTGAAAACACATACAAGGTCATATGTGGTACGAGGTTTATCAAAATACTGGAGACCAAATTCTTTAAAATAGGATATCTGCTATTTTATATCTGCTACAGTGTCACTTTTTCATGTCCTTTAGATCTAGCTGTTTGCTAATGTGCCTCTGTATTTCTCTTTTTATGTGATTTAATTCTTCTTGTCCACAGTTTCAGTGTTCGTCTCGTACATGAGTGAATTGATCGCAAAGGATGCACCATTCTGTCTGAAAGGATCCCATTGCAAACACATTCACACCAACTAAATGTATTTATTGGCAAAACCGTATTAAAATAACCCACTTTTAGCTATATATACCCACTTTTAGCTATGTATATTTTTGAGTGTGCCTGTGCCTGAAAGTGTTTGTGACAGAGAGTATCCTAGTGTGTGAATGTATGTCTTTGTGAGCATATGTGTGGGGTAGCTGCTTGCGGTGTGTTGTGTTTATGGGGGTTGCCTGTGGCCTTTGTGCATTGAGTTATGACAACTTTACATTTCATGACTGTGTGTGTCTATGATGAATTACTTCAGTTAGCGGCTGTGACTGGGTGAGTAAAGGGGTAACTATGGCAGGGTAAGGGGGGTAAATGGGACTAGGAGGATTGGAGAAGGATTTGAGGAGGTTAATGTGATAGGGTGTGTGTGGCACAGTTAAGGAATGTATCACAGGGTTGGGGTGAATGTGCCAAGTTTGGAGGAGGAAGTGTGGCAAGGTTGTCAGTGTGTGCCAAATCAGTGAGAGTGTGTCTGTCAGACACACACTCACTTGGTAAAGACAAGAAGGAATTGGGACACACTCAGATCATGCATTTTGTAGAAATGGTAGTGACCAACATTAATACATAATACAGATTCATTAAAAAAAAAGTAGATTTTCAACTTACAAATGGAAGTTGGCAATTCAATATAGAATAACAAACAAAATACTAAGAAAGATAGGTATTTGTAAAGTGGTATATAGCTCCATTAGATATATGTATCCAGAAACTTTAGTATTAGTTACACTTATATATTGTTCAATCTAGAAAATCGTAGCTGAATAAACATTAAAGGGACACTGTAGGCATTCAGACTACTTCAGCTCATTGAAGTGGTCTGGGTGCTGTGTCCCTTTTGTACTTAGTGCTGCAATGTTTACATTGCAGCACTAGGTCTGCCCATAGTGGCTTCCAGAATCGTAACAGACTTTTGTTCCGTTATTTGATGCTGGACGTCCTCACGCTCTGCATGAGGACCTCCAGCGACAGATTTTCACCGATAGGAACGCATTGATCCGCGCATGGGGAAAGGGGGGCGCGAGAGAGAGGGGGAGGCAGAGGGATCGGTAGTGCCAGGAATACACCTTTGTTTTCCTGGCACTACAGTATCCCTTTAATATTGCCTATTTTATATCAGAATAACACAATTATATATTGATCTAATGTAGCCCTATTCAAAAATATTATATCCATAAATAGACAAAACAGACACAATTATAAAGACAAATGATATGATGGTCAATGTGGGGAGACCTATTAAGGGGAAAATGAAGATCTATTTAGAGTTTATAAATATTTCAGAATAATGATTACGGGGGACCACTCTGCTTACAGATCAAAACAAAACATTAAAGACAGCGCTGAACGGTTTATTTGAGTTCTAATTTCTGCTATAATTGGAATTTCGTATTTACTCCAGTATCTATAAATACAAGGTTTAGTAGCCATAAGGATATGGGCTATTAAACAAGATGTTGTTTTGGGTAATACGCGAAGGTCAAGATGAAATAAAAACTTTTCTGCTGTTAGTTCAGATATGTTTATATTTAGATCTGCAAAAAGCTACAATAAATCTTATTTAACAATACTTAAATGGTCACTATAGGGTCAGGTACACAAACATGTATTCCTGACCCTATAGTGTTAAAACCACCTTCTAGCCCCCCTGGGCCCTCATGTCTCCATAAATATAGCATAATCTTACTGTATTCAAGCCTAAAGCTGTAGATCTGCATGCAGTTTGCCTGAAAAAAACAAGCAGTCTGCTGACATCATCAGAAGTGGTAGCCTGATCCAATCACAGTGCTTCCCCATAGGATTGGCTGAGACTGACAAAGAGGCAGATCAGGGGCAGAGCCAGCATGATTCAAATACAGCCCTGGCCAATCAGCATCTCCTTATAGAGATGAATTGAATCAATGAATCTCTATGAGGAAAGTTCAGTGTCTGCATGCAGAGGGTGGAGATACTGAATGTGTGGATGCATTTTAGGCAGCCATGGCCCAGGAAGGATCTCTAACAGCCATCTGAGGAGTGGCCAGTAAAGTTATCACTAGGCTGTAATGTAAACACTGCATTTTCTCTGAAAAGACCGTGTTTACAGCAAAAAGCCTGACGGTAATGATTCTACTCACCAGAACAAATTCAATAAGCTGTAGTTGTTCTGGTGACTACCCTTTAAACTGGCACAGTCTCACAAGATATGTTTGCGTGTTCCGGTTATAGTATTACACCTCCAGCATAAATCAGAGCTTGAAGTCTGAAATTGACATAGCTTAGTGGGGACTAAGTACCATCTATTAAGAAGTTTAAAATGGGATTTCTGTATATTTATAAAATGTATTGATTTTCTAGTTCAATCTATAGATTTAAACCAAGTTGTTAAAGGAAGTCTCCTGTTCAGATCTTCTTCCCATTTTATAATAGATTTCATCTTCGTATCATATTCCCTTCCATTAACTAATTTTCAGATTTTTTATGATTTCTTGGGATGACTATTAAGTAGTATTCTATCTAACGGAAATTGTGTATTTACATGGGTTTTAGCTAGAAAGTTTATTACCCTCAAGTATAGAAATAGATCTTTATTGGATAATACAAACTTCATCTGAATTTCTGAAAACGTAATAATCTTCATATTTGAATATAGGTCCATTATACCAGCCGACCAGTCAAACTTAAATCTTGAATATACAATTTTAATATATGTAGAGGGTCACTGCCACTAAGTACCATGCCCACTGAATATTCACATGTTTTTCCTTGAATTTTGTGTTCCCAATGTTTATTCTCACAATGTTCCCTTTTACT